CTCACTCCTGAACTAATAAAATAACATTGTGATAAATGGAGAAAAGACTGAAGTTGTCAAGAACTTCATTTTGCTCAGAGCAACCATCAACACTCATGGAAGCAGTAGTTAAGGAATCAAAGGATGTATTGCATTAAGCAAATCTGCTGCATAAGACCTATTTAAAGTGTTGAAGAGCAAAGATGTCAGGGTATTTTTAATAGCCTCATATGCATGTGAAAGTTGGACACTGAATAAAGAAGACTAGAAGAATTGATGCATTTGAGTTGGGTACAGGTGAGGCCTCCCTGAGCTATATGTGTCCCAGGTTTTGTCTAAGATCCAAACTCTGGGGATTTTTGGAGCTCATGGCAAAGGAGTTTGGGGGAGAAATCACTATCAGTCTGTATTGGGTCAAGCCATCTCTGGTGAAAGAGCAGCCCAGAGATGGGAAAATGAGGTATGAAGGTGCATTTCTGAGTTTAACTTGTCCCAAAAGCTAAAACTGAGCCTGTGGTCTAGGTCCTGTGATAATTCCTTCTTCTCTTACTCCCCTAGGCCTCCGGGGACTGCAGATCTATACACTACATAGAGAAGAAAGGCCCAACTACCGTCTCAAGTGTCTGCAATGGTTGAAAAGACAACCTCAATGGCCCAGCTGGGGCTGGCACCAGATCTCCTGCCCTTGCTCCTGGCAGCAAGGCCGATGGGACTTACGATTCCAGCCCACCAACATAGGTGACTCTTTTAGTCTCTTGGGGCATCCCCACTACTCCCACATAAATCCACCACCCGTCATCCTCTTGAGTAATACCTTACGGGCCCTTTATGAGGCGCCCTCGGCCCCTACCCAGAATCCCTGCACATGCCCCTCATCCTTGCCCCACTAAACTCTGACCTGAATATTTCTGGACTTGTTGCAGGCTGGTGGGGCAGCAGCAGGCAACTGTGCAGCTTCTCCTCCTGGCGAGGGGGCGTGTGCTGCAGTTATGGGCCTTGGGGAGAGTTTCTGGAAGGCTGGAGAGTGCCGAGTCCTTGGCAGTTTGGTATGTGTGTCCACAAAGACCTCAGGCCTACCGTCTGGAAAGCCCACTGCTCTTACCAGCCAGAACAGCCCTGAATATCACACCAAAATAAGCTTCCTATTCTCATTCTTTCCTAGCTCCTTTCCCTCTTGGGGCCCCAGTTGTCCAATCTGGAAAGTTTGGAAGCTCCCTGTGTCCCTTCTGGCTCTGGGAATTTATGACTGGGTGCCCTCTTACTCCATCTCTATTTTGTCCTGTAGCCCCAGCCCAGAGAGGAAACATCTTTCTAGGGAAAAAGATGTTAATCCCCATCCTTTTGCATCATCCAGATTAGCAGACTGTTTGGAGGAAAATTTAGAGTTAGCTACTCCCAGAGATCTTGAAAAGGAGCTACAGTGAACAGGATCATGTGTGTTGTGGGCCAGGGGCGCTCTCCCATTCTTCTCCTCCTACCACGTATCCCCCAACAACCTGGCCAGAATATGTTGAGACTTAGCCTGGCCTGAGTATGTTGAGACTTGCTGCAGTCTGGTGCAGCTTCTCCTTTAGCATGTGCTACTTAATTCCTAGACCATGTGCTGCCCTCCTTCCCATTCCGACAGCTTTGAGAGGAAAGGAACTCAGCACACATTCTTCAAAAAAGGAACTTCCTTTAGCTCCTACCTACCATGTGTCAGGACCTCTGGTGCACAATGGTTTATACAACAACCCTTCAAGGGGGACAGTAACTAGTTAGATCAATCACTTCAGGTCACTGAGCATGGCAGGATTTAAATAGAGGTGTGCTTGATTCCAAAGCCATGCTATTAATACCACATCTTCCAGCTGAGTTCTCTACTTCCTCTATCGCCTCAACATGCTGCATTTTTCCATAGACCAGGAACTGGAGTCGAAGAGCTGGTGTTGCCACTGGAATGACAAGCCCTTCTTCTGCACCTTGTACAAGCAAAGGCAGCCCCGTGTCAGTTGTGCTGGATACAGGCCCCCACGACCAGGTGAGGCAGAGAATCTGGAGATGAGTAGCATCTTGCCTCTGGAACATGAGGATGGACCATGGAAGGACTAGCTTTTGGACCAGAGTAATAGCCACAGGGAAGATGGAGTTGCTCCCAGTGTGGTGCCCATGGCAAATAGATTAGTGTTGCTGTTGTTAAGTATTGTTGTTATGTGCCATGGAGTAGGATCCGACTAGTAGCGACCCTGTACAGGGTTTCTGAGGCTGTAAATCTTTACAGGACCAGAAAGCTTCATCTTCCTCCCACAGAACTGCTGACCTTGTGGTTTGCAGCCCAATTCATAACCACTACACTACAGGTTTGGTAAATGGGGTTGGGGAAGAAGTGAGAGTGGTGGGTGGAGAAATATTGCATAGACATGAGTGCAATTGTTGTTGTTGTTGTTGTTGTTGTTGTTAAGTACCGTGGAGTCAGTTCTGACTCATAGTGACCCTGCACAGGGTTTCCGAGGCTGCAAATCTTTACAGGAGCAGAAAGTCTCAACTTTCTCTTATGAAACAGCTGGTAGTTTTGAACTACTGACTTTAAGGTTAGCAGCCCAATTCATAACCATTATGATG